TCCTGTAAGGAGGTATTTTAGTTTACAGTGTCCGGTTAGAATTCTTGTAATGATTCTAAGTTTGTCTTTTGATAGGTTCACACAATTCAGGTATCTCCTATTGTTATAAGTACCAATAAGTGATTTGGATTGTGTTCGACACGTTATTGTCAGTAGAATTTCGCTGAAATTCATTATTACCTCGTTTGCATAATGTAAAACGTGTTGTCGTTTTTTAAATTAAGTGATATAGGTTGATATTGTAGTTTTGTTTGATGTCTAAAGATATTCCTGAATATTTTTTATTAGAGAAATTGATAGTTTTGCTATATATAAATAAATTTCATATGAAAGGCAACAATGGTGGTTTTTTTGGATTTCATTGGAAATTCTTATCCGTTGCAGCCTATTTACACTATTTGCAATGCTGTTTGCGAGGGATGGTGTATTATAACGAAATTTTAATGGATGAGAAACTCATAATTGGATTATTTCTGTTCTCGGAAAGTGAGTAGTTGTAAGGAGCCTTAATGTGTATTCCGTCGACAGCCATGCGGTGTGCTTTTTTTCCGCTGATGTTAATGTTGTTACAGCCTATGAGTATAACTGCTGCTGCATGGTTGAAACTTTTAGTTCTGTGAGGAATTGGTATATTGATATATACGGGTAGATATCGCTTTTGCGAATTTCTGAAAAATTTATTAAACAAAATTTTCATAGATGAGAAATCCATAATTAGATATAAAAACTTTAAAATTAACTTTTTCTTGTTTTCCACCATTCCGTGGTGTGGTAGTTAGATGCAGTGCAATTTATTTTTTACCGCAGCACCGAAAATCAACTTAAAAATCCCGTGCAATAGTTCGAAGAAGCGCTGCGCTTCTTTAAAGTTTATAGTTCATTTATTTTATTTCTTGCTATATTTTCAATTTTCACACAACAAATTGAACAAGTTTACAATTTTGATAGCTTCATTAATTTTCCCAACCATAATTGCATAAATTTTGCCACCTTCATAACGACTCTCGGGTGTTTGGTTAGTCAGACTTTCGCTTCCTGCCAGCAACAAACTCCGCATGTGGTGATCAATAATCAAAATGAAAGCACAAATAAAAAATATGGAGGAAAAATAAAAATCGGTAACGAAAGACAGAAAAAATGGCAAAAACCAAAAAGTACAGAAAATAATTTGCTGGCAGCATATGAGCAAATAACTCGTATACATGGATTCAGCGTTGCATTTCTTTCAAGGAAACTCTGGAAACTGCAGAACTGTGGAAAGCTACTGAGCTGATAATAATGGCGACTAACAGATACACCGAACTCTGGCTCCGGTTCACAAAGAAGCAGGAAGTGTGGTGCACGAGAGTGTGTATGATGTGGTGCTTTGAATAAAATTGATGTTGTGTCATGTTTTGTGTCAAATGTGGTGCAGTGCATCCAGCATACAAATCAAGCAACGGGCGTTCCTAATACTGATTGTGAATATGTGCAGCTAAGCAGATATGCACTCACTTTAGTCTATCCGATGATGCACGGACTAACGAATCTTCAATAAATGCAAACACATGCGGACGCAAATGTTGACAATAATAAAATAAAATTACCATTTTGCGTCAAGTATCGATTGAAATCTTGATAAATTGTCCTTAGAGGTGAAAAGGGAGCATAAATGCTGGAAGTTGCAATATTTCAAATGCAATATCGTCGAAATTCAGTTACGCTTGAATAATCCACTGTTACTAAAGATATTACTCAATTGCAAACAATTAAGGAGAACATTTTAGCTGATACATTAGTTCAAATAATATATAAAAGGAAAAGATATGACACAGAATTTAAACTTAAATTGAAAGAAAACTTAAGATACAGAAATAATGAGATAGTTTCAGTAATAAGACAGTTTGTTAATTCTTAGATTTATTGAATTTGTTTAGCATATTTTTGTATGGATTTTGTATAGATTTTATACACAATTTAGCGCACATTGCTGCAAAATTGTACAGTTAACTACAATGTTAAACCATAGCACAATATAACTATGATTCTGCGATCTAAAAAATCTATTGTGCCCCTTGGTTGGATTAGAGTGTTTCTCCAAATCCGATTTCGTTAATAAAAGATAATATAGGGTTCATCTTTCCTAGTCATGTGTCCTTATGTTCCATGAAATACCTTCTAAGGTGTTTCTTTCGCTTATGCTGTTACTCACTCTTCTCTACAGTATCTGAAGTCTAAGAACTATGACTCTTATTAATAAAGAAATATTTTTTTTATAATAATATAACCTCACCTCACCCTGGTTTGCTAATAAAGACGTGAGTGGTTCATTTATGCCAGCCAGCCCAAATAATAGCTGATAGTACCGAGTACTTGCTTGTTGGTTTTTTTGCGTCTTCTAATGAAGATGCAGATATTATCTTCCTCCAGCGGGAACCGAATCTAACACCTTTCTAGCCAGATCACTTACTTACTTACTTTACTTTCTAGTAAAAGTGGAATAACATCAAGTCTTGGAAGGAAATACAAGTCAAATAGCTGATGCGTTTACTATATATGTTTTCAAACAAAAATTTTCTGCTTCAAAGTCCGATATCTCAGATTTTTAGATTTAGTGTAGTAGAAAACACTGTTCGCAACAACAGATTGTGTTGAAATATGTTATCAAATTTGCATATCTTAAAACACGAAATCGTATTTTAAGTATTTAGTTAATTATAAAAAAATTAAAAAATTTAAAGAAATTTGTAAGCACATAATGTTACTCTGATATCTATATAATTCTTTTTATTGCAGCAATATTCGATTTTAGTAATGGTCCTCATATAGCTCAACTATTCGGTTCTTATCTCCTGAATCTCCTAAATAGTGTCAGAACAATTTAAAACAACCAGTAATTACATAATGTTACTCCGATATCTATATAATTCTTTTTATTGCAGCAATATTCGATTTTAGTAATGGTCCTCATATAGCTCAACTATTCGGTTCTTATCTCCTGAATCTCCTAAATAGTGTCAGAACGATGATTATGGAATCAGTTAAGTGTTCGGCCTAATGGTCTCGAAGAATTAATGCCTTATAAGTTGGTGCTTTATTTTGATTCAAATATCAAGAATTGTGTACTAATAATTCTAGATTTTCTTAGAATTAGCTTTATGTAGACATTGTAGAATACTCAAATGAAATTTCTTGTTGACGGTTTAGGCCAACAGAAAGAGTTTAGAAAGTGTCACACCATGGTAATTGACATCAATTTTTAATATGGGCTTGGTTTGTAATTGATTTTCCGTGAATTTTTCATATACATAGTTATTCCTTTGATTAGTTGTTTTTTTTTCGAGTTTTAAAGTGACAGATCTGTGGGTGGTACTGTGTATTTTTTCTTGCTCGTTTAGAACGGTGCTGGGTTGTTTTCGAGTTGGACTTGTGAATTGTCCTATGCTATAGTTTATTATTCCATTCACAAGTTTTTTTAGATTATTGTTTTGGTTTTTTATATAGTTAATTATGTATAGTTTAAAAAGTTATTATATTATGTTATCTTATGTTTGTTGGATGAGGTAATATAAACGGTTATGATTAAAGAAAGTCAGAAAGTTTTTCTGTAAATAAACTTCTTTAAAAATGTTTTTTCGAACAATAGTGAACTACAACAACAAAAATTTCATTTTTTATATTATTTTAATGAATTGAATTTTTAGCTAACCATACAGCTGTTTCGAGTATTGCCAAATACCCATCATCAGTGGTTTTGGAAATAATTCTTATATTTAATTATTCGTAAATAATTATTTTTGAGATTGCAAGTACCAGAAATCGAACTCGGGTCCCGCCAAATGTGAAGCTCAGAATCAGCGCACCTTAACCAAGTGATCCAAAGCCATACTTGACTTCTTACATTAAGACTGAAAAGTTTTCGGAAATTCTCATTTAAAATTCGCGCGCTGTATATTTTTCGATATTTTAAGTTTATGTAGTTTGGCAGCACTGTCCTTAATTACTATGCCAAAAATGAGCGCGATCTGTCAGACAGTTCGTTTACGGCAGCTGTTGAAACCAGTTCCCCTCAGTAGTGCGTTGCGAAATGTCTTCGACGGTCGTACGACCGTCCTGAAAGGCTTTGTACCACTCATAAACTTGAGTTTTCGATAAAACTGATTCCCCATAAGCCTTTTGTAGCATTCGCAACGATTCTGCACACGAAATTTCGTTCGAAACACAAAATTTGATGCAAACTCTTTGTCCAATATTTTTTTCCATTGTTTTTTTCGCAACGCACTACTGAGGTGAACTGGTTTCAACAGCTGCCGTAAACGAACTGTCTGACAGATCGCGCTCATTTTTGGCATAGTAATTGTCCTTAATTGCTGCCAAACTACATAAACTTAAAATATCGAAAAATATACAGCGCGCGAATTTTAAATGAGAATTTCCGAAAACTTTTCGGTCTTAATGTATGTTCGAATATATTTCTGGAGTTTTGTTACTTTTGCTATTAAACTTTTTTGTAAACTTATTTTTACTGCTTACAGATAGAAAAATCAAGCCTTAAATTATTGACAACTAATGATTTTGGAGTCTTATACTCTTGCATATAGCCTGTGTAGTTTTTAGATATTGTTTTTGCCAATCGATCGTTGACGTAAAAGTGATGATTGTTTAAGAGTTGCATCATATAAATTAAGAGTATCAATTTCAAGCAACCCTTAATAAAAATGTGACGATTGTTCAGAAAGTGAATCTCATGCATTACGGGAATCATGTCTGTCACTTTGGAGTTGTCCATCAATTCTTAAACTAAAAACTGTTATTTGAATGGCGCATCTTTTGCTTTAAGAATGTCGAAATTAAATTATTACTATTGCTTATATCATATATAAAATATTTATAAACTAATTAATATTTCACTTATTTTCGTCGTTAATTTTTAAAGGATTTCAAAATCTTTTTTTAAAGCATTTTTGAAGCATTTCTGAGTTTTTCTAAGTAATTCTTTTATTTTATCTATTTACAGCTAGTCGAATATGCATATTTATTTGGAAAAAAATTTAACAAGTTCATATAAGCGCATTTGATGAATGCAGCAGTGAGACACATATTACAGCAAAGGATCTAAACATAATTCTAAACATAAACAAGTGACAGTAGAAAATATTTCCAACAAAAAAAAATATATATTATAAATAATAATAATTATATTTAAAGTTCTAATTACACAAACAGAACCAAACAGAGTAAACATTCCTATGTGTTTCGTCGTTCATTTGGGTATATCGAAAATAATACTTGGGCGTATTAAGTGCAGTTCCAATGTTCTTCATTGCGCTGGGCGACCTGAGAGTGCTGCTTCATTAATTAATTAAGTTCGGGCTCGCTTTGTTGGTTAGTCGAAACGCCAGCATGCAAAGCACTGATGCAAAATTACTGAGAAGAAGTTGAAAATATTTTGTGTTACACAAATGCCAAATATTTTAGATAAAAAAAATTTAATATTAACATTGCGAATGAAATCGATCACTTATGCTCTTCAATATTAAAATTTTACTTGACTGCGGAAAAAAATAAATTTTTTGTAATAACATTGAACGCAACATCAACACTTCAGCATTCAGCAAAAAACGCAATTACGTAAAATACACAACCCGACATCATGGACACTGTTTACGGTACAAAAAAATACTTCCAGAGCTTATCCGGTGCCAGTGACATCTATCGCACGCAAGCATGCCGTACTATGGTAAGTAAAAATATCGAAACCTTCTGTTAATTAAAAGTTTTAACTGATATATAGCATGTATTTATAAGCAACTCCTTCAAACAATTTCTTTTTAATATAATAAATTGTAACAGCAAAACCAAAAAAAAAACACATTTTTTTAAAAAATTAATTGGATTTTAGTTGTCGATTTATCAATACAACTTAATTGTTAAATAGAGTAATGAATTGGTATCACTGCAAAATCATTTCCATATTCACTTTAATTCTTGAAAATTTAACCATACTCTAATTTGGGAGCAAAAGTATTAGGTTGTACTAAATAAACTACAAAAAAATCATCAATCCATCAATTCATATATTATATTTTGCCGCCATTAAAATAGACTGCAATATAGATAGATAAATAGATAGATTTTAAACGGGTTGGGAACTTGTCACCACTTCAATACTTCACTACATCCCTTAAGCATTATTGTGAAATACCGACTTTAGTTCCATAGACGAGTAGGAGTTAAGAACACCATTATGTCCTTTGGACAAATGTTGCCTAATTCCGTTATAAGTGGACAGCCAGTAGATAAGTACCGAAGGCGACCCTATCACAGTGACACAGAATGTGTTCTGCAGTTTCCTCTTCTGCACAACAAAGTCTACAGCTATCGTCTGTAGTAATTTCAAGGTTCGATAGATGCTTATTTACTCTGCAATGTCCAGTGCGAAACCAGACTGCAATATAACTATGCCAAAAACTTGAGTGATTTTTCTATTTATGGTCCTAATTGAGTCGAAATACTTTTTACAAAATGGCATTTTTGGTTTTAGACATAGCGAAATGTCACACTGGACCATGCAAGGTAAAGATTGTATCAAACTCTTTCAGTTAACGGCATAAAACTCTTTCGATTGCAAATTATACTTTTAGTTAAACCCAAAAATATCTGACATAAACACACTTGGCAGCAAAGGGTTTAAAACCTTGTGTTATAATACAATAAACCACTGTATTGTAAAACACGTTCCCACTACATCCAAAATTACTTATGTTAATGAAATTAGAATTTGGTCGTTTCCATTGGCATAAACTGATTTATGCATGTATTATAGTATCGATTGGTTTATTACAAAGCATATATTGCCGCTTTCATGTGTTTAATAAACGACCTAAGCCAGATAATATTCAAAAAAAAATAATTTTATTTTATATATAATATTTTTTATATAACCGCTAATAAAATATATGCTGTTATTAGAAAGCTGTGCTTATATATATATAATATGCTATACATATATAATATAACATATATATAATAAAAAATATATAAATCTATATATATAAATACATATAATACAAATATATATATATTAATACATAATTATACATAATATAGTATGTTATTACACCATAACTTTCATTTCGAGTTTTGAACGTCAAAAAAGAGCTTTTAAAACAGTTGAAAATGAAACATCTTTCGAAAGACTTTTGACTAATAGATAGTTGCCAGGATTGCTCTGTATAAGACAAATCGCATTCTGCATTAGTGATGTGTTTGTAAAACGACTTTACTTGAATCCTCGGGCTATCACAAATCGTTTATCGAGAATATTGTAAATCGGCATTAATTAGGCTGGTTTTAAATCGATGGCTACCAGCCTATTGGCATTATTGTGTTATTATTTTAAAATAATATTAATTAAATATTTAAAAACTTTCATAGTTTCCCCTGTTAAATATTTTTTTGATGTTTCCTTACACTTAAGCTATACAATGAAGCAAAAATATATCACATTTCCTATTATTCCAATCCAAAAGAAATTACACATACATACATCATCAAAATGCTGTGATAGTCTCTGTCTCTGTCTCAGTCTCAGCTTAATGTCTTCCATTGACCTATCTGCCATTTAATGCCTGTCTGTCAGTCACAACTAAATACTTATCTCTATTTATATACGCAAGTCGCAAGTACACATTTCTTTTAAGTAAGCTTTTTTCAAACGAAATCTAATCTCTCTGCCATATTTTTATGAATAAACATAATTAAACTTATTGTATTATCCTGTAGCATGCTGACTTTCCCCCAAACAACAGCTAAGCCGTTTTATCTCCGTGGCGCGCTGAGTAATAATCTAACGAGCCCGAAATAAAGAAGAGGGAAGAATATAAAATGAAATGTTGACTCTAATCTAGACATTTTGTACAAAGTCTTTAAGATTTGCCACTTCAACATATGAAAGTGGATTTTTAAATACCAAATGCAGTGCGAGATTATTTTATATTATTTTTTACTTTTGTTTTTATTTATCACGTTTCATGTTTTTATGTAGCAACAATAATAAACGGCATCAGGGGACTAATGTCAAAATAAAAATGAATAGCTTTAACATAAGAAAGAAAAAAAAAACGAAAAAAAAAATTGTAAGAAAAAAGGAAAAAGGAGCAAAAGTAGAAAAAATTAAAAGGGAATAAAAATATTAGCAACTACCATGTCAGCATTACAAGCGAATTGTACACTTGATAGGCATACTTCCTTCCAATCCGATGTAAGACAACGGCAGCCCTATGCTCGATAATAAAACATAGGTCACAATAAATTGAGCCTCTGTAACTGTGTCTGTGTCTGTGTCTGTGTCTGTATCCGCATCCGTATCAGTAACAATAAAAATGAGCAAAAAAGGTGATGAAAATTTAGTAATAAAAAGAAGTTTTAAGTACAATTTAGATGGTAGGTAGCTGAAGCTACTGACTTTGCGGGATGTTGAGATATGGGGTGGCGCTTTATATAGTCACTGGCAGCTATATTACGAGCTTTGATAATAATAATGTGAAAACTTGACTGTTATTGTTGGTATATGCAGGAGTTTTTTATGCTGGATTTTTCTTTACAAATTAAGCATTCGTAAGTCTGCTCAAATAAGTTCAATACAGCCACTGTCTTTGTCGCTGCGAATGGTTTTTGTTGTAGCATCTCCGGTTCCTCTTGATCTAAGTGGGTAATTTAAATGATTGTGAATTTATTAACACTTGAGAGACTTGAGCGTAAACAAGTGATTGCCTGGGCGGTACACTTTTATGTGTTCTTGCCAGAGTATTTATGAAGTGTGTGGCTAAAATGTACTACACATGCATACATTGCAAGGGGAGTGTTGCAAATGTTAGAGTTGCTGATTTTATTAAATTAAGCTAATGAGACAATAAAATTGATATCACTGTTGATATACGATATTTTAACAAAGTCGCATCTCAAAACTGGATATGCGATATAAAGTGAGCAATAACGTTACTCTTATACATAATTATATACATAATTTTTTTGTTATTTTTATTATTTAATTTTTTTTTATTTTTATTATATAATTTTTTATTATGATTAGGTTTTTATTTTTTTTTTAATTCCATTTGAATAGAAAAGGGTGTAATGATAATCTATAAGTTAGGCTAAGGCCTTTATGCACTGCGACTAGCTTGATCTATTGTGCACCTCATTGTGTTTAGACATTTAGTATGTCAAGAAATTGAATCAGCATACTCGCAGGGAGTTTTTGAAGGTCTCCATCCTGTAGTTGGTATGCACCCAAAATTTTATTTCTTCTGTGACCTAGTGCATCACAGTTAGTGATTACATGTTCCATAGAATCTTCCTGATCACAGCAAAATCTGCAAATATTTGTGAGGGTATGTCTATTTTGTGTACGTGTTTATTGCATGCGGCGTGGCCTGTTCGTGCACTAGAGAGTGACTTTAGACTCTTCTTGTTTAGATTGAGAACGAAGTTTGTTCTTTTGGCTTTAAAATTCAAGAATTTTTTGGAATGATTTAGGCCGTTTATGCCTTTACATTTCTTTTTTGTTGGATCCATTTTTTTGGTCTCCTGTTTTGTTCTTTTTATTGAAGCCAAAGTAAGGAATTGGACCGATGAATGGTCCTTTTACACGTTTTTTGGCATAAAGGTTCGCCTTATCGTTGCATTCGTGTTCTTCATGCCCAGTTATCTAAATCAGAGATAGAAAAGAGGGAATAGATAAAGAATTGCACAACAATATATAATTTTTAATAAAGTACATTTTTTGCTTTGGTTAAGTGCGTCGTCAAATATTCAACTTAAATGAACTACAAAAGCACTTAAAAGTATGAATAATTCAGTTTATAAGGAAAACGGTGTTTGCATATAAATTTTAAACATTTATTTACCATCATAATATTTATATTAATACAATAATAATACGTAATATTTTTTTATATATTAACTAATATATCTCTGATAAATTAAATAAATGTATTTATTTAAGATTACGTTTGTTTTTAATGCTATCTACATAGAGAAAATATTTAATATTAGCTTATTTTTATATCAAACTATAGGTCGTCAAATTCAATGACACGCACAGAGTAAGCCAACTGGACCACAATTTTCTGTTGTTTAAAGCTAATTTTTATTATAGTAGTTAAAAAAAATTTTAAAGAACATTCAAGTTTTTTAAATTTTTATGTAATTTTCCATTCTATTTATCTGAGTTTTGTGCGAATATCATGAATTATGACTGTGAGTTCATCAATCGACAAACTAATCGCATGCTACACAAGTGTGACCTAAGAAAGTCTTCAGACATTTAGGAAGTAGGCCTTTCTGTAGTACATCACTACTCGATTTTTTTTGTATGGTTAGTAATATGCTCCATAGCTTCACAGCGAAAAGTCGTGAGGATTTCTATATATTTATTTGTTGGTCAACAAGTAGCTAAATTTGTAAATTTTCTTTATCTAAGTTGATAGTATTCGATAAGCGATCTAGATTCGTTAAAAACTTTTTCTTTTGGAATTTGATAGGATTTACTTTAAGATTTTTTTAGGTAAGTTTTTTTAAAGTGGTTTTCTATGTTTATACTTGCCCTATTTGCCTAGCTATAGTTAAATAGAAGACAAAACTGTCTTAGAAAAACGAATAAATTGAGTAATCTATATTGTAATAACCTATTAGAATTTTTATGAACAAAGTCTCTCATAGACACTTTTAAACTAA